AATCCCCCTCCCATTCCTCATCCATGCTTCTCTTTTCTCATTATTTCAGGGTTCCACCTGATCCCCCGCATTTCCTCCATCGTACCTGAGAGTTGTCTGCTCATCGTGGTCGGTCTCCTGATCGGGGGTCTCATGAAACTCGTGGGTGAAGTTCCTCCCGTCCTCCGATCCGACATCTTCTTTCTCTACCTGCTTCCTCCAATCATCCTAGATGCCGGCTATTTTCTTCCCATCCGACCCTTCACTGAAAACCTGGGCACCATCCTGATGTTTGCGGTGGTGGGAACGCTCTGGAACTCCTTCTTCATTGGCGGTTTACTATACGGTGTGTGTCAACTGGAGGGCGTTCATCTGGTGCATGTGGATCTGCTGTCCTGTTTGCTGTTCGGCTCCATTATTTCGGCTGTGGATCCTGTGGCGGTTCTGGCGGTTTTTGAGGAGATCCACATCAACGAGCTGCTCCACATTCTGGTGTTCGGAGAGTCGCTACTGAACGATGCCGTCACTGTGGTGAGTACACGGAACAAAAACCCCTTTAAGGTTTACTTGATGCTCTGGTTTCCCCCACTGTCCAAAAACATGAGCAAATGGTGAATTGAATAACCTAAATTGTCTGTAGTGTATGTGTGTGAATGAGTGTGTATAGGTGTTTCCCAGTACTAGGTTGCAGCTGGAAGGGCATCCGCTGTATAAAACATATGCTGGAGTAGTTGGCGGTTCATTCCACTGTGGCGGCCCCTGATAAGTAAGGGATTAAGCCAAAGGAAAATGATTGAATTTAAATTATAACATTTTTTATCAAACTATTTGCACAATCAAATTTCAAGTACATTTTACTGTCTTATGTCAAGTACAATTAACTTGTCAATATCATGTTTAATCTTCTTGATGTTTAACCAAACTCTTCTAAACAAATAAATTGAAAGTTAATTGATTCTTTTTAATTTTGAGTCTATATTTATTTAAATATCTTCTACAAGTTCTTGTAGTTCTAGCAGAAGGAACATTGCTTTTAGCAAATTAAGTCAATCTTATTAACAGTGGTGTAAAGGAACAAAGTACAATACTTAAATGACTGTATTTGAGTCGTTTTTCTCAGGAATTGTAATTTACTAAGTAGTTTTATAAATGAACTTTTATTTCCCCTTCAGTATATTTTCAGTGCTGTATCGGTACTTTTACTCCATTACTTTCCTTAAGCCTGCAGTCACTTCTTTATTTTTTCTTGTCTATGGGGATTGGGGATTGGCTGAGTAGTAGCGCTGCATGTTACTGGCTAAATTGAGAATCACAATGTTTTGTCTTAAAATAAAATCATGATTTTCTCACAATTCTGTTGATGTAAAATAAAGCTTAACGTAGGGGTGTGAAAATTAATTGTTTCTTCAGTGCACGGACAATTCGGTATTGGTTCAGTAATAATCATAACCGGTTATTGTGTGCTGACGTCATTTATCACATATTCGCAATATCGCCGTAGCTTACTATGGCGAGATTAAGGGGAACAAGAGTATTTACAATGTTCCAACTACATAAAAATGCAGAAACTGTGCACAGTTTTACCGTTTACTGTGTGTTTGCTGGATCAGTCTTGACGCTTACAGCAGAAGCCCCTATTTCACAGCGATTGAGAGAATGAAAGTACTCCATTCCTCTCTCTCTCTCTCTCTCTCTCTCTCTCTCTCTTTCTCTCGCTCGCTCACACCATCGCGATGTTTCACATTAGACATTGTACGATGCCAATTTGGTGTCATTGCCCAACCCTAGCGGTAACCTCAAAACTTGCTCAACTCTTCTAAATCTGACTACATATTTTAATATTAAGCAGTGATAAAAGATTGTGTTTGCAATCTTAAATTTAATGAACTATTAATGCTTTTCTAGTTGAGCTTTACCTTTGAATTTGAATCCACATTCTTCTAGTTATTTATGTTAAATGTTTATTTTTCATTTTCTATTTCATTTGTACTTTCGTATCAGGTTTTTTTAGTATGCCAATGTCATCTACTGGGCTTCCTTCCTCTAGATATTAACTGTTTATGGACTTTGGTCATCCATTGGTTAGTCTCTCTGTGTGTGTGCATGTGTGCGATCAGTGGATGGTTTCAGGTCTTCGGTGAATTCCCTGCACACTTGTTCACTCTCACAGCTCAATTTATCAGCCGATTGAGCTCTGTCGTTTCCACCAACCTGTTCTAGGCATGGGATGATAACCTGTTTCAAGTTTTACCTCGGATTGGAAAAGTCAAGGTTTTAAAACTGCTGAAATGTTCTGTTATGCCCTTCCTACAGTATATGTAAGATTTTTTTTAATGAATACTTTAGTTTTTTAGGGCAACAGTATCTCCAGCAGAAAAGGACCCTTCAGATCAAAAGCTACTGGTCAGGCCGTGATTCAGAAAACATTTGATAAACAAATCACTTTTAAACCAACATCCAGCATGCTAGAGACCCGTACAGCCCAGTGGCTTTACTTTATATTCAAAGGAAAGGTAGATCTCCAAAGATGCCTTTTCAAGGTGTGAAGAAATGTTTTGAAACTAATGAAGACAGCAGAAGTCAATGATTTATTTTAATTATTCAGCCTGGCATGTTTACTGTGCCAAAATATCATCAATGTTTCTTAAACTAAATTATAATGTGTTCAATGGGAGGAAAAACTAATTTTTTACCCAAACACTTAAAAGAACACATTGTAGAGCAGTGAACGCAATACTGTAAAACTATCGTGATATTCTTATCTAAGGATATCATACCATCAGAATCTGATGCCTACCCTGAGCTATTTTTCCTCAACTGCTTGACCTCATGCTTTGAACAAGCTTCTCTAGTGCTCTGCGAGACGGATGACACTTAGTAGACGATCAATGGAAGAAGCCAAACGTGATTTGAGGCGTTCGCTGAAGAGCTGCTCCTCTAATCTCAGGAGGATTTGTTGTCCCGCTTTGCTCATTTCAGCTGGGAAGCACTAAATCAGGTTTTATTGAGTGGTTTGGAGAAGAGCGTGATGCTGCTGAGTGTTCTTGATGAAGAGTCTAATACTACACTTGGTAGACGAGAAGGAAAAAACTAGAGCTGCAATATTTGGAATATTTGATATTGCGATTTAATATACATTTTTTTCTAATGTTTTCTAAAAAAAATAAATAAATAAATAAAGCATTACGGTTATTTTCTTCTAATTTTAGAAAAAATAGTCAAACTTTAAGATAAAATATATATGTATATTTTTTTTCTTTTTTTTTTTCTGCTGTTAAAATGGTGCCCGGAAAGTTAAAGCTATAAATGCTACAATTTATTGTGCTCAAATACTTGTAACTCACTAAAAATACTTACATTTACAGACACTTATTGAGTGTTAAGGTGACACTATACACACACATATATAATATAATATAATATATATATATATATACACACACACACACACACACACACACACACACACACACATATATATATATATATATATATATATATATATATATATATATATATATATATATATAGTCAGAATAACCCCCCGCCCCATACAGTTGAAGTCAGAATTATTTGCCCCCTTGTTTATTTTTTCCGCCAATTTCTGTTTAAAGGCTTATTAGACTAGGTTAATTTGGTTAACTTGGCAGGTTATAATGATGGTTTGCTCTGTAAACTATCGAGAAAAAATTTGCTTAGGGGCTAATAGTTTTGACCTTAAAATGGTTAATAAAAAATTTAAAACTGCTTTTATTCAAGCCGAAATTAAATTAAATAAGATTTTCTCCAGAAGAAAAAATATTATCAGACATACTGTGAAAATTTCCTTGCTCTGTTAAACATCATTTGGGAAATAAAAAAAAGAAAAAAAATTCAAAGGGGGCTAATAATTCTGACTTCAACTGTATGTGCTCTTTCATAGACTGTACTTGCGTTCTGGCATTATATAAAGAGTAGTATAAAATAATCTTGTAATAAAATGCAAAATATGACAATAATATAATTTATCACAATATATTCGGGTGCAATATATCGTACAACAAAACATGTATATCATGACAGGCATACCTGTATATTTTGCCCCCCTATTTGTAAAGGAGATTTTTATTTATTTATTTATTTATTTTGGAAAAACTTTATATTGCGATGTTGTGTTTTGTGATATTGCAGTATTGTGATAGTGTATAAATGCAGTTTCAACAAATCAATTCATTCAATATTGACCCTAAATGTGTACAGCTTTTGTGAAAATATTAAAATAGAAAATTATACATTCTATCTGTTTTCAAAAAGTATTAAGGTTTTTATTTATTTATAATTTTTTTAGGAAAAAGTTGCCACACTTTAAGATAAAAAAAAATAATAAATTAATAAAGTTTTTTTTTTCTGCTGTTAAAATGCCTGGGTCATTTTTGACCCACAAGTCAACTGGAAAATTTTTTGTATATGTGCCCAATTTATGTGTATTTTTATATGTGTCCACTGGGGTTGGTTGATGCAGAGTAATTTGCCATCGTATGATTTCTAATGTGAGACAGGTCTTGGTTCGATTAAGCTGATCAATTATAGTGAAACAAAAGCATCCAACAAACCAGGCTATATTATGGTTGTGCAATGGTCATATATATACGGCTATATAAAGAGAGAAATATGAATAGGGCAGGATGTCACCGGCAAATGTGCGTTTCATGTCTAATATAAAAGTGAAAGCATGCTGAAATACTACCGAGTGCTGTTTATCCTTTGACCGAAAAAAATTGACCGAAATTACTATCTGATAATTTATAAATATTTTTTTATCTTATATTTTTTATTAGGCCATTTGTTTTGTTCATTTGTTTTGTTCACATCGACACTTAGAAAGAAAGATCAACATTGCTTCATGATCTGACTAAAGTCCCGGTGTTGTGATGAAAAATGCACCCCTGCACGGATCCACTTAATAGACTTTCTTTAGCATTTTTAGTCTACATTTAAAAAAAAAAAAAAAACCTCAAAGGTCATAATTAATTAAAACGTAGGCTAATATGATTACTATGTTGATGGATGAAGAAAGAACAAGAGGTGAAATGCATTTTAAATCTAGGTTTACAAATAAATGAAAAATAAAAATATTGACAGTATTATAGACAGATGTAATGAGCAAACAAAAAACAATCATTTACTTTAATGAATCTAATAAGTATTGTATTTAAATTTAATCATTTTTAAAAGGTCAGTTGTATTTAAAGAAAAGTTATGCTGAGTAACTCAATGGCTAACAAATTTTTTTGGTGGGGCCAGAGAAAATTTTGGCTGGGCAAGTAAAAATCTAAACCACTGGCCAGTAGAAAAAATCCCTAGCATTGAACCCTGGCCTACAGTTTCAAATACCTGACCCGCATGGGCTTTTTTTTGCTTTATTTGCGGGTTGCTGCTGTGATGGGGACAGGGTCGAAGATCGCGATGCTGGCTCAGTGTCGTGAAGTTTCTTTCTTTCTTTCTTTCTTTCTTTCTTTCTTTCTTTCTTTCTTTCTTTCTTTCTTTCTTTCTTTCTTTCTTTTTTTCATTCCTTCCTTCCTTCATATATACATTTTAAATTCAATTAGTTTTTTTTATGTATACAGCAGCCTTGACTGTCGTATAGTTTTTAAATAAATGCAGTTTATAATCTCTGTTTAATAAAATAAGTCTATGATGTTCTGGACTGTGTTGATCTCTTTTCTTGTTGTGCAGGTTCTGTATCATCTGTTCGAGGAGTACTCCAGTGTGGGAACCATCACCATCACGGACGTGTTTCTGGGAATCGTGTGTTTTCTGGTGGTGTCGTTGGGTGGAATCGTGGTCGGCGCCATCTATGGCATCCTGGCAGCCTTTACATCACGCTTCACCTCACACACACGCGTCATCGAGCCGCTGTTCGTCTTCGTCTACAGCTACATGGCTTATCTGTCCGCTGAGGTGTTTCATCTGTCTGGCATCATGGCGTAAGTCAACACTTCAAATCAGTTTCACAATTTGATCCAATAACAGGGTTCATACGGTCATGGAAAACCTGGTAAAGTCATGTAATTTTGACATGTCATTTTCCAGGCCTGGAAGGGTTTTGGAAAAACAGAAAAACCCACAGTTTTGGAAAAGTCATAGAAAACAGATATCTGTATACTTGAATATAGGTATTATATTTCCTTTCTGTCCTTGATCAATCACATACTCTCATTATTAGTGCGGTGTAAGCATTATCTAAATCCATTATACGTAGATATAAATATAAATTGAAAATAAATAGATTGCTGCGTGTTCACGATATGCTGTAATAAAGTTGAAAATGCATGTTTTTCTTTTACTACACATATGTAGACATTGCATGAAACATTAAGTCTTGGAAAAGTCATAGAAAATGTCACGGAATTTTTGTAGTATAAATGTGTATGAACCCTGTAATAAGTTGATGAGATTATATTGTCAATGTTTTTTATTTTTTATGAATTATCATTTTAAAAATTAATTAAAAAAATTTATATTTCATAAAATTAAATTGTCAATGTCCAATTTTTTTGTATATATAAAAAAAATTCACTTAAATTTAATTTAAAAATTAAAATAAATCCAGACGACTGAGAGAAGACAACATTTTCCATAGGCTTTTACTCCTAAAACAATATATATATATATATATATATATATATATATATATATATATATATATATATATATATATATATAT